TTTTTCTGCATGATCTGCCATCTTCCACAGAAAACACTTTTGTGAAGTATGCGGATGATCTCACTGTATGTATGCCTATATCTTCCTCTTTACATCCCATAGAAATGAATGAGTTTCTGTCTCGTATTGATTGTTGGTCTGTTGGTAATGGTCTCATACTTAATCCATCTAAATGTCAAGCTGTTAACTTTAGTATGAGACATGAACGGAATATAAACACTATTTTGAGATCCCATAGTGCTTGTACCATCGGAGACTCTTTGATAAACGCGGTGTCGAAGGTCAATTATCTTGGTGTCACCTTTTCCTCTGATCTGTCTTGGTCTTCCCACGTTTTATCGTTATCAAAGAAGGTTTTCCGGCTGACCTACTACATAAAGAGATTGCATGCTCTTGGAATTACTTGTCACTTTCTCTTACAATTTGTCAATTCTTGCATATTACCTATTATTATTTACTGTTCTCCATTATTCTTTCCCGGGCTTTTGAGAAAAGACTTTGCTGTATTGCGAAGAGTGCTAAAGGCAGTTAGTAAGACGTGTGGTGAATCTTTCGAGGTCATAATTAATATGGTTGTGGATAGACATTTAAAATCATGCAAACTCCTGGCAGGTATTATTTTATCAGATACTAGCCATCCCCTTCACTCTTATCTTTCTCCTTGTATATCTTCTGGTAGAACGAGAAGTAATTACATTAAAATCCTTGCACGCAAGGAAAAGTATAAAAGTTCTATAATACCTTACCTAGCAAATATACTCTGTGACGAACAGGTTGTTAGAATTAACCTAGTCAATAACTTACATTCTTAACATGTCTTTAATTTTAAAAGTTTGTAGTTTCCTTTGGGTTTTTTTTAAATTATTTTATATATTTCTTTATGTATTCGCTACTGCCTTTTGTTCGTTGTTCAGTAAGTAACTTGTTGAAATACCCTGTGCTGAGAATTCTATATTGTACCAAAATATAATATTGAATAAAGCCATTAATAATAATAATAATAATAATAATAATAATAATAATAATAATAATAATAATAATAATAATAATAATATCCATAGTTGATGTAAAAGTTAGTATAACTACTTCCGGTGGTTAGTAACTGATGAATGCCGTCTGATTAATGTAGAAACAATGTATCATAGCGGCTTGAAATGTTGCAGTAAATGGTTAAAAATAGAAAGCAGAAACGGCCGTTTTTGAATATCGTATGATCCATCACCTAACTGGACGAAATCTACATTGATTGCGTTCTTAATCAAATTACATTTTTACATACTTTCTGCTGATATTTTCACTTTACTACTTTTCTCTTTCTAATATTTTACAACAGTTTACAGATTCACATTATGTAATGGCCTATCATATCACACATCTTTTATGTTATAAACGTCATACTTCGTATAAAATAAATTAGGTAGCTTGAAGGATACCGCAATTTCTTTTTTAATTTGTGTATAAGAATACTATGGTAGGTAGTTAAAAAAATAATAATTTAGTCTTCAACTCCATTGAATGTACTAATTAAAATGTACAAACCAATTTCATCGAGTTCACCAACTGAGTAAAACAAATATACGAATAACAGTAAAACAATTTTAAAATTTAAGATTCTTTGTTGTCACATATTGTTTAAAAATTTATCTAAACTCTTCCAGTTATTATGATTAAAATAACTAAAGGAATTTTTAGAAAAGTAAGAAATATCAGTCTTTACTTTGGGATTAACTGTACTTTTTTGTATCACAAGAATATGGATATTCTATGAAGTCTTTGGGAAAAAACAACACATAGTGATCAGAGAGTCACTGTGAACTTTTTGGCAAACATTCCGTGTAGTGACACGTTACACCCACAATCAAAATGATAGCGAAACAATAAAAGCGATAAGACTTTATGTTTATGTGACCAATATCACTAGTCTAAGTAACTTGGCATAGTGTTCACTATATTGAGATATCAAGGGGTTGGACGTAGTAGACAAAAAAATCTCGAACGAAATCCTGCTCCATACTTTTAGTACTTGTTTGATATGCCTTGCTGACAAGTGCCACCATCTAACAAACTTTGTTGTTGTTTATGTATTAAAATAAAACCATAATTTTGTTTAACTCACTTTACACAATCGTTTCATTTCAATTCGATTGATGTCACTTGAATTATTAACACTTTTGTACTAACATTCTTTTTGCTATATACATTCGATAGCGTATATTGGATATTATTAAGTTTTTACTGAACATGAATAATGTATGATGCAGTAATAATTTCTAGTGGCTTTCAAATGACTAGAAGTCTTAAGAAGCTATCGAAATTAGGTAAATCTTTATAGAACTGGTTTCTATAATCATATAAGCTTGAGTGTTATCACTGAACTGTAAACTTACTAGTGTCTATTGGCAATGTTTTGAATGTTACCAATGTCGTACATGACATGCGACACTTTAAAAAATAACGGTGGCCGTTAAGATAGTATGGAAAAGCTATTAAAATATATCAGTAACATTGATCTCTAAAATTTCAACTTGTAAATGTTAAACTTGAAAGAAAATTATTAAAATAACAGTCAAAATTATTCAAACCATCTGTGCACAAGACAACTAGTTAGCTAGAAACAATATGATAAATTCTGTGTTTTTTCCTACCAATTAGTTAGTAGTTCATAAGTAAACATATATAAATCAACTATATCTTCCATAAGTCAAAAGTAATCTGAAGTCATATTTATAGAAGTAGCGAAGAGAAAATGATCATGACCATATACTAAACAGTTCAATCTAACGTCGCAATATAATGGTTTTTATTAGCGTATAATTAATAATAAACAGACACAAACGTTGTTGTGAACATGAGTGAAAGAACCATTAGCTAACATGAAAACTTCAAATAAACACATTCACTGACTGTACATTCACTATTATATGTGAGGCAGAAACCCTAGTCGATTACATAAAACCAAGTCGAATGAAGTTATAACTATATAAAACTTCCAGATGTAGATTATTTTACTTTTGTTTCAGAAATCTTAAGTCTGATTGCAAATATTAAACTGGTCAATTCGATTCACTAGTTACAATATAAGCATATTATTGACAGAAAAACGAACGATGCTTATGTAACATGTTATCTGTGTAATAGTAGGACTTAACTGAAGCGCTAGAAAAAAATTTTGATTGTTATTAAGGTGATTGTGATAAAGATAACTGACAAATTAACCATTCGTTTTGAATGTATGAGTTTCTTAAAAAACGTTATGTGGTATGAAGTATGATGATCAACTGATTCACTCTGAGTTTTGATCGATAACAAAGGTATGTGTTCATATGCTATATATATCTGTGTACTACCAGTCAAGTGATATGAAAACATGTTTGATAAATAAATTTGAAAACGAAAAATAGTTAACCAAGCAAATGTCAAAAATTGTCTTGACTATCAAAGAAAATTGAATGGTTAGGTGTGCAGATAGAAGCAGCTTAATTCTAATTACGAAGACAAACATAAAGGATTTGTGCTTACAAATATCTCATTCTCTCTCTCTCTCTCTCTCTCTCTCTCTATATATATATATATATATATATATATATATGAGGAATTTTCACATAATTATGTTGTAAATGTTGGTTAGATGTGGTCGACAAGAAGCGCTGGATCTATGTCTCATGCTAGTTAGCACTCGTCAGCAAGGTGCATCTGTAATCTTGAGGGTACCGACGCTCACTCAACCTCATAGTCAGACTTTATCAACGAGCTCTCAGGGTCGCCATTGATCTTGTGTAGGACTGAGATATCTGTGCATAGTGCACGCGATTTTGAGTCATTTAGGCTAGTGGCCATATTGCATTTCTAGTGACGGAATTCCATCAAAACTTAGAAGTACCTGATATACATGACATTGGTCACAACTCAGCGAACAATCAATTGAAAATAATGAGTTTATTCACAGGATAGATAAATCGTGCTCACGCCTAGATAAATTGTCAAACAGCCATACTGTTAGCAATTGTTTGTACAATCAACTGTTGATATTCAAAACAGAATTCTGATCAGTGTTTGATAGAACACGCGACAACATGTATACTCAGAACGACCAAAACTCACTGGTGAATATCAGCAACGAGGTGATACATACATCTAAGAATAGAAATAGTAGCATTGCTTATACAAAACGTTGGATGCAGTTTCAGAGTAATTCGACTTTTTTCGACTTTTCTTACATGATTATGAACGATCTTGAAGGCATTAAGTGTTTACGTTATGGAAGCACAACATTATACACCGTGTTTCTTAATTTTGTAATGAAGCTTTTATGGTTTGTATTTAAATGGTCCAATAACCTGAATCAACTTCATACTACTCTTAATTGAAAATAATCACTACGAAATTGGACGTTAGTACTACTATGAACGTCACTATACTATCGTGATTTGCCACAATGACTTATTTCATTAAAATAGTGAATATTCCTCGTCATTTGAGACGTTTTTCAATGCTTATTAACAAATAGGTTGTGGAAATTAATTTCCTACAGATGTAATTCTAAACTATTCCCTAGACTGTCAGGCACAGTCTTAGCTTAGCCAAGGTCAGGACAGGTAAGCTAGGACTCTGTGCTCAACAGTCTATGGAATAGTTTAGAATTGTATCTGTAGGAAACTACTTCCTACACAGATAGCCACCCATACAATATAGTCAACGTCTGTATTTTCATTTTTCGGTTGTTTTTTTACAAAGAGTACTGCTACTTCATTACTACAACAAATGAACCTAATTCAAGTGAACAAAAAATACTAATACACAGGTGAAAATGACTATAATGCACACTTGATAAAAGAATGGGTGAACATCAGTTAACACCATTTATCCCCATTACTGAAACGTGATCTGTTTAAAATATCAATAAAACTTAAAAGTGAGAAAAGTGAAAAAGCCCTACTATATATCAGTAACAAAGTTGTAGTTAACGATAACTGTGAAGAACAACCAATAACGATAATTACCTTAACCAAATGTTGATTAACCCAATTGGTGAAGGCTTTCTTTTGTATTGCATCACGTTCATCTAATACAAAAATTTTAAAAACAGAAGGTAAAGACTCATATATTTCCAAAAAGGCATACACATTTGTTTGTATATAAAACAGTAAATGCAGACAACAGTGGAAAATAGGCAAATACAAAACTAATTACATTCATACGTTATAGAGGTGGACTTTATTATTTTCTGAACAATTTTCGATTATTAAAACGGAAGAAAATGTAACGAAGTAAACTATGGTCGAGTGATGTCTGTTCATGAGACCAGAATATAAAAGTATCCCACTAAATGATTTGAAATCGAAGACAAGATCATCAGCCAGGAGAACAGATATTCAATGTGATAAAGTGCAAGTTCACATACAAAGTAGTAACACGAAACAAACATGGTAAAATTTCATAGGCGACTGGAGGAAATCAGTTTGTACGTCTCCCACCTTCAAGTCAATTTGTAAAAACATCTTTGCATCAAGTCCTATACTGTTTTTACCATTGATTTTCTCAATCACTTAACATCACTAAATCAACAGTCAATTTTCGCAACTCATCCTGAGTAGTTAGGATCTCAGTACTTAATCTCCGTATTCTGTGTAGTAGCCAAAATAGGGAAATCATGATGCACGAAAATGGTTTAGTCTGTATACATACCAAATGACTGTACCTTGTATGTAGGGAGTGTTCAGCGGTAGGTGATCAAAACGGGTTAAATACTAGTCGTCGCAGATAACTTGGGTGTGAGGCTAAGAAGGTAAGGCTGGACAGAAAAACATATTCATGGGTAGAAACATATTTATAACATGGTTGGATAAACAGTTTAAAAACACACCTCATGTACTCTATCCCATAAAAACACAGATTACACTTTACCAAGGGATTTCACCTAACGGGGATTGATTGTACATTATTTCAACAACTTAATGTATCTACTACGGTACCTCCACGTCGCTGATGTTAAAAGCTCTCTGAAGATCAGTATATAACTATTGTCAAGAGAAATTATAATTGTAATTCCAAAATCAGAAAAAAGTAAGGAACTCTGAAAAGCAACGACTCGATGAAGACATGAATTTAAACGTATATATACATATATACAACATATGCATTTGAAGACGACACGATGTTGCCTAATTGTTTGCCAGGACACTTATTCAAGAAATATAATGGTTTCAATGAATGAATCGGATAGTATCAAATGAGCGTATTAAGAGATGAAAAACTAAAGATGGAGCACGACAAACTCAGAAACAGCACTAAATTTACGTGAGCGATTCGGCCATAAATATGTATTTTCCTTGTCGTAAATGTATGAGTTGTAGAATTCTCTTCACAGTAGATTTGTTAATTGACGATTTTAAAAGATGGAGGACTTGATTACACGGGGAAATTTGGATGAAATGTAATACGATCAGTTTTTATTTGCTCCTAAAGTTAGCAAACAAGTATTTATACTACACGGTGGCTGAATATTATCTAGCACGTAGCCTTTTCATCATGTTAGGAATTGCGTTTTCCGAAACCAAAAGTCCTCCAAGAAGACAAGAGGCGTTTTCCAGGATTGCAGATGGTTTGATTAGCGAGTAGTCGAAACTAATCAAAGCTAACGAACCGTACTAAAGCTTGAAGTCGGTAAGAGCATCACAACCCGTACAAGCATTTTAAAGGAGCATAAAGTTCAAATACATGAGACCATAAGCGCTTTAAAGTGCTTAAAGTGCAAAATTCGCAAGTATATTAGGTCATACAGTGATTCATTTTCTTGTAAATGAAGCTTCTGATATTGGAAAGTCGACTTAGTTGATATTCCGACAAAGATGCGATTGTACGCAGCATAGTAAAATTATTCATAATTTAATTGAATAGCTGACGTTACCTGCGATTTTTATTACTGCGCGGTCTGCAGGGTCCAATCTTAATACGCTAAGAGAAAGATGAACTTTATCGAAGTTAACACTGTTTCGGGAATAGTCGTTTAATAAACTGAGAGTTGGCAGTGATACTGGCGTCACGTTGTTTGTCCCATTTAAATGGATAAGCGGTTGAGAGAAGCAACGCAGATTATCAATCTTGTCTGACATTATTATAAATATTCATGAGTCTGTGCGAACACGAAGTAGCGCACCTCGTGTATCTGGCGCAGTTGTGAACAAGTATTTTTAAAACATCCAAACAATCGGAAAGCTCAAATGGTTCAAATGATTGTGAGCGGAATGTCATATGCTTCTTTTTGGGTGCCTTACTCATTTAGTAACAGTGGATCGTCTATGCATTCAAATACCCTTTACTGGAATCATAAGTAAATAGAAGTGTCCGTAAATTAATAACAAACGTTAAACGTAAAGCTGTGCTTTGTAGAACTAAAAGATCAGTTTTTCCTTGAGATCTGTGTATGCGTGGTAGTTAAGGTAAAGTTCTTGGTGTGTTCCCTTTGAAACGGAAGGGCGAAAGCATTAGTTTTCAATATACATTCCTAAGACCTGAATCACTTTAGAAGAACAACCAGGACCACTACTTCAGAAGACAACCTTTAAAAAAAATATAATTCCCCCCCCCAAAAAAAAGATTTTAATGATTTTCCTAGAAATATTATTCGAAACATATTAAGACGATCCCATTTACTCCTATACAAAGTTGGGTCAACAGATCTGATTATGTCGGCTGCATTTAAACGCAACTCAATTTCGTAAATGTGCCCTCCAGCTTAGCAACCAATCAGAATGAGGCGGGAATTATTACATCGGCCATCTTCGTAAGCAATGGCGGTCGGCTTTCTTCGTTCTGTGCTTCTTTCAGCTATTTCTTTTGTGTAGCTACGGAATTTGATGTTTCAGTGTGCTAAAATTCAAAAGTTAGTGTAATACTCTGAACGTTGGAGCAAAGTTTTTCCTGATTTTGCTTTGTTTTCTGGGTTTTATCTGCTGCTAATGAAGTCACTGTATTTATTCAGCTAAGCTGGCTAGTACTAACATAAGACCTTACGTTTTCAAACGACAATCGGTTATGTTTTATCTTGTTTTCTAGATATCCGAAGTCGAAGTTCGTTTTTATTTAGCTAAAATAATTGTTGCTGCCGCCTGTGACTCTAACTGTTCGCATGTTCGTTCCTAACTATCCTTTATGATGTTATCGGCAAAATGAAAGGAAACAATCTGCGTTTTTTAATTTTCTTCAGTATTATGGACAACACTTCCACCAACGAGTCAAACTAATACAGAGTGCCCAGCAGTAGGGTATATCGGTACTGATTTCGAAAGGACCCAGACTTCCGACAACTATAGATGAAGTCACAGATGCTACCAATCTATTGCAGAGGGTTTGTTATGAAAAAATATGCCATATAACAGTAATAGAGGGGTTGTACTCACTACTCAGTGCGTTAAAGCAAGCTTAACATTGAAAAGCCGGAAATCTGCTACCAGTGTCTAGTGTATGTTTGCTGTTTTGGCCATAAAAGGTAACCGAAGGGTCATGATCAGGGAGTAAAAAGGTAATTAACTGTTATTAAGCTCACTTTTTTATAGATCGTGTTTCACCACTCGCAAATATGCGTTTTCTTACGGTATGATGTCAACTGGTACCTAATATGTTCACCCTTACGATGAAAAGTACCTGCAAATTTTCACCTCCATATTCGAATTTATTTTGGACAACTGTCTTACAGTCTGAGTGCTTCGTACGCCCCGAGAAACATTCGTAGTTCCAGTATAACTTTCTCACGCAGTAAGTTCAAATTAGACACTAGTCTTTCTAAATAAGGCTGTTAATCTAATATCCATATTCTCTATTTCAGTTAATCGATGAAGACATGTACCACTTGCATCTGTTGTATACTGCCATTTTACTCCAATTCTAACTGTTATACCTTACTTTTGAATAATAAAATTGCTATATGCTGCAAATACAGACTTATTTGTTTTGATGGAGGTAGGGGGGCTCATGGGATTTTCACTAAAGAGCTAAGCGAGTGCGTAAACCAGTGTAAGGTACCATACGGGGTGCATTTGAGTTACTAGTGTTCCATAAGTGCGGGTAGGGGCATTGCTTGCTTGTCATATGGCATTTGAATTAGAAGCTATAAGATAAGACGCAGGTACGGTTAGGATGTGTAACGCGTGTCCATCCATCAGTTGGTGTGACAACCCATGGTGGTTAGAATAAGCTATGAGAGGACCCGAGTCTGTAGGTCTCCCAAGGAAATGACGAGGATATGCACCAAATCACTTAACCTCTACTCATTACAGTATAGACGTCTTAGAGGTGACCTAATGGCTTACAATAAACCTTAACACTTCTGGACATCCCCTAAAACACCTAATTAAGCTTAGTTCCAACACTAACCTAAGGGGTAACACCCAGAAACCACAGACACAACATAGCAGGACGGACTGTAGGCACAACTTCTCCTCCTTAAGAGTTGTCAAATGCTGGGATTTTCTGCCGGCCGAGCTAATCCAAGCGACTTCGCAGGAGTCCTTTAAGAGGCAACTGGGTTCATTCTTAAGGACTAAGTATAGTATCATACTATGATTTACCAATTTCTTTTTCCTCTTTTATTGTTAACATACCAAATTTTCTGCCTTGAGGTATTGGTGATCCCCTGCTACTATCCACGGAAGCCTGTTAAGCGAAAGCTTCTTCTATTCAGTCCACAACCATCTGAACACATGAACTAGGTGCTGAGAGGCTCGCTTATTACAAGTTTCTTGCAACGATTAAGTAGATAAAACAGAGTAGCATTAGATTCAGAAATTTATTCAAGAACTTTCATTAAGAATCGAATAGCAAACAAAGGTTTAAACCAAGTTCCAGTTTAAAAGTTGTATTGGTTATGTTAAGCTGCAGTTTTCGTTGTATTTTTCCAAACGAAAGAGTAAAAGAAGTCACAAAATACTGGAAGTGGTTGTGAGACTAAAATGGAAGTACAGCATCCTTTTTATCATCTGCTGTTCGTTGGATCTCCCGTAAACAGTTCCATAGGGCCATAGTTCTAAGGGCGAAACAGTTTTTATGATCTGTGAAGACTCACTCCTGTTGCATTCTAAATGAAAAAATGGTGATGAATTTAGTCAGAAATGTGGAATATATATATAACCAAATTACATATTTTTTAGCAAAGAATTTATGCAGTTGTGATTTAACTTGAGTTCATGAATATTAGATAAGGTCAGCTACTATTACTTGCGCAAAGCGTGACATGGGCTTAGTACCGTATTGCAATGCTTTTATTATTTTGCTCCCATTTAAGTATTCCCATGCATCTGCGTCTAGTTTAACAGGAAAACATACAAGCAGAGTAAGTGTCTGATAAACTAAAAGTCCCAGTTGTCAAAAAGATTCTTAACCTTTGTCCACAGCCAGCTGCATTTAATTGAAACACAGAACACTCATCTTCTAAGACTGTATACTGCTGTTTTGCGGGCAACTAAAAGCTCAGACACTTAGCTATCTTGCTACCGATGTTATTGATGGGGAAATTGTTTAATGACAGTGATCATGAAATATGGTCAGTGATAGATGTACAGTTTAGAAATAAACACCAAACATACTTATCGCTATCTTATAATGTATGATATCATACATGCTATATAGGAACAGCATCAAAGGCACGTTTTTTCCTATTTTTAATCAGGCTGATCTGAATCCGTATACACATTGGAAACAGGCAACTCTATAGAGTATACTTACTAAACTGATCTGTTTCGTTACAGGCTTCAAGCACTATACTTAATTATATCATAATTCCTTCAACTAAACTGAATTATACGACAAACAAGAAAATCAAACTAAGCAAGTGTCATAGTTATTGTTTCACTTGCAAAGACATGTTGCTCAAAGTAGGTAAATGGACATAATTAAGCCGATAAAACCAAAACACGAAATATAGGCCAGTTGAACTTACCTAAGAAAAAAAGAAGGATACATATATACTGCTTTAAAGCAGTATTCAGTATGAATTCATACTGAAGACAACAGGAAGTTGATCATAGAAACAGTTTACAGTACAACAAACCTTTCTTCAGTAAAATCATGCACTGACAGTCTATCTGGAAACAATCAACTATGTGAATAAAATCACTATGACTTGAGATATCATTTCAGCGTGCAATGGACGTACAGTGTAACGCAGTCGGACGTGGCGAATAAAAATTAAAAACAGAGAAAAATTAACTACATAATCTAGTTATTTAATTAAAAATACATTATGAAATGACAAAATATGTGGTTACTTGAACGCACAAATGACAGTATGCGATACATTAAGTTTACATTGGTTGCGTTGCGGATAAGATCACCCGATTATGTCTATTGGGATGCGTCCTATATTCGAGATTCTTTCCATGAGATCTCAACTCGTGCCAAGGAACGCTAACGTCACACAAAAAAGCCTCCCAATAATCTTGTAGAATTGGAAATTTTACAGAATAAATCAGCAATAGCAAGATATGCTATTTTCCATAATCATCACACGGATATCAAAATAGTCGAGAAAGTCTCTACTAACTATAAAGAAACGTGAGTAGCTGAAGCGTTCCACATTATGTTGAATCCCTCTGCCTTAAATGGGAAAGAAGACCTGGATATTTATCCAACTCGTACCATTTATCCAAACAACCGTATATGTTCCTATTTATTTGGCTGCAATTAAACGCAACTCAATTTCGTAAATGTGCACTTCAGCTTAGCAACCAATCAGAATGAGGTGGGAACTATTATATCCACCATTTTTGTGAGCGATGGCGGTCGGCTTTCTTCGTTCTGTGCTCTGTTCAGTTATTTCTTTTGTGTAGCTACAGAACTTAATGTTTCAGTTTGCTAAAATGCAGAAGTTGATGTAATACTCTGAACGTTGGAGCAAATTTTTTTCTCATTTTGCTTTGTTTTCTGGGTTTCGGCTGCTGCTGCTACTGAAGTCAATGTATGTCTTCAGCCAAGCTGGCTAGTCTTATCGGTTTTGTTTTGACTTGTTTTCGAGATATCCAAAGCCGAAGCTCATTTTTTCAGCTAAAATAATTGTTGCTGCCGCCTGCGACTAACTGTCCGCATCTTCGTTCCTAATAGTCCTTTATCGGCAAAATGAAAGGAAACAATCACCGGCTTTCAATTTTCTTCAGTACTATGGACAACACTATCCCACCAAAGAGTCAAACTAATACTGAGTGCCCAGCAGTAG